TGAACAAAATGGCAAAAATAAATAGAAAATGACAATGGCATGGTATTTATTGTTAAAAATATCTTGTCTAAGTAAGAATTAATAATATCACAGAAAAGTCTGGCTAGAAGCTTTGAATTTGTAGGAAATACTTTGACAGACTGTGTCTGATTTGGTTCTGACTTACTCTTTTCTCTTACGGTGTAGATGGCACTTGTGAAAGTCCGGCCATCTAATGTGGCTTCACACTGATACTTGCCAGGAGATACACCTATAAACCCCATTCTGGGGTCATAAAATCCTGGGATTTTCTCTTTACTGGGGATTTTTATCAGTTCAACATGATATGTCAGCTGCGATGTACGGCACGCAACGAGACCATCATCCCCCTCATCAACCCAGTCTTCTGGTCCATCTGGGACAAACAGGATGGAAGGATCTAGAAATGAGCAGAGAGATTTTGTTTTTGTTGGGTTTTTTTGTGCAAATTTTCACACTGTTTAATCTTTAACTTAATTGTTTGATTATTTTCGCATGTTTCACTCTATAGACATAGCCTAAGATAACAAATTAATGGGAATAGGACTTGTTTGTTAGGCTGGTGTCATTCGTCCTTTAATATAAATTTGTTTCTTATTGCCTGATCACTTTTAAATCCCACAACTATACAACTAATTCTAAAGCAGCCCTATAATTCCTATATTCTAGCGTATTTGGTCTTATTTACTTTCTTCTCTCTTTTTTCATATAAGCATGTCACCTGTACTAGGCTGTCACAATGTTTCCAATCCTTGTTGTAATTTCTCTTTCTTAAATTCTATGGGAATATGTTAATTCTATTGCTATGTACAACAGTCATGGTAAGTGGTATTAATCCAAAGACCTTTTGTATTTAGCCATTTTTTTTACCTTTGACATATATATAGATATCCGTCTGTTCGCTCCCATATTTGCATTCATAATAGCCGGTGTGATTTACAGTAGCGTTGTAAATTAGGAGAGTTGAGGTGAAACCGTCAGAAGTAATTATGGCATCTTTCAGAACTGGTGCATCCCAAACTATTTCCGAGTCAGCCGAGCAGCTGACGTTGATGAGGGAATTAGGCTCCAGCTCACGGGTTGGTTCTTCCATCCCCATGGATGAGAACAGATCAGCCATCGCTAAGAGACAATTCAATGAATGTTAACTTATTGTCCAAAACTATGTAGAGGACTACTCTATGTCTAATATAAAAGTTTACCTGAGACCATTCCCACACAGATAACACCACACACCAGGTATATCTTCATCCCATCCATGGCTATGGATGTTCACCCCTGTGAAGAAAAGAAAAGTAACTATTTCTATCCAGTGAATAAAGAGTATTGAATCTTGATCTTGGTACCTTTAACTGTACATCAATACTAGATTCTTAACAACTAAATGAATTAATAAGGTATATGAACTTTTGATATATGTAGATAGGCTACCGGTATATCTGTGTTTCCTAAACATCTCTGGTTTGACAGACAAGCGAAAAGGAGACAATTTATTCAGTCGTATAAAGACCCTAGACTTAGATATTCCATATCCAAACCCTGGAACACCAACAGCTTTATCCATAGGCCTACAATATGGTCATCCAGTAAGAATTTTATTTCAGATTTATCTGTTTTGTAAAACATAGTTGAAACATCAGATCCGTAAAGATTAGGGCAGGATTTGGTTGCAGTGGTTCAGCTCTCCATCATTACTTTGGCCACTCCAATTGTGAAAGAAAATATTTATGATTTTCCCAGTTTATTATTCTCCCACACTGTTTACATTTGATCACTACTGCACTTCATAGAATGGAAATGTTCTGAAATCTGCACAAAGTGAAATCTCGTTTTGTATACACACTGTGTATACAAAATGACAAAAGTTGTCTAAGTCTAAAGACAGTAACAGAAACAAAAGAGCTTTGTTTAGTGTATTAAGTTAGCAGAATTAGAGCAAAACTAACCATAAAAAGTAAAGAGCAAAGTAAAGTAAAGAGAATATTTTTACATATTTTTTGTCCAGATGATACAAATATTGAGAATTTATTCAGTGAAGCTACTCTGATAATTAATTGCCGCTTGTTTTGTTTTTTGTTTTTATTATGTTTCCATCAACATTTTAAGAGTCCCCAGTTTGTGAGATTGGAGTTTAGAACGTAGCGCTTCCTTCCCGCAACCGGTAGAGGGCGACACAGTCCACCTTTTAGAGAAGATGCTAATTTAACCAGATCTATTATCGTGTCCCTCCTTCATTTTAGAAGTTGCACTTTTTCTCAATTGACTTAACACAGAAATGCTGACATTTATATTCTTAAAGAGACTCAAACATAAATCTGGACATTTTTTTCTTCTTCTTTTTTAAAGGTGCCTAATTTAGCCTGTGTGGAAACAATTATTTTTACATCTGGATGTTTCTGGACCAATGTCGGCATGGCGGGGAAGCTTTTAAACAACAAATATGTTTTCATTAAAACTTAATTTCAGCTCTCCACTATTACTATGGTCACTTCGATTTTAAATAAACTATTTATGATTTTCCCGGTTTATTTTTGTGCCTTCTTCAGAAAGTAAAACTATCCTCCCTCTTACTGTTTCCTGCGGTTGTCTGCTCTGGCTCAGTTGGAACAGCCTGAACAATCCATCGGCAGCGCGGCTTCGTCAACTCTATAATTAGGACATCCACTCAGTGCAAAATGACATATTTGCGTGGGAATCCGACAACAAAGTGCCTAATGCGCTTTGACGTTTTTATGGGCACCCCTCATCTTAAAGGGCTTTAGTAAAAAAAAAATATATGTTTGTCATATGAGCGAAGTTTGGTGAGGAACTTTTATGAATTGCGCTTAAATGAGTCTGCAGAGGCGATCAAGATCCTCGTATCTCCCTCTGTTTGTTTCTCTCAATCTCTCTGCAAGCGACTAAATGGTTTGCACTTATAAAAAAGTACCCTCTGCTGAAGGTAAACTGTGCAACAGGTCAGTTCATAGTGAATTCCATCAAAAATGAATTCCATCACAGCATTTAGTACCAAAACCACACAGTCCCCTTCAAAAATGACTGGATTTTGGAGATTTTTCTTAGTGCAAATGCGTTGAGGATTCAACAAAAAGACCTATGGTCCCACAGCAGGGTAGGCTGTAAAAGAAGAGTGCGCCGTGTCTCCTCATAAACGGCCTTTTTCCTTTCTCAAAATCAAATCCAGCTATAAATCCTCATTCCCACTTCATTGCAAGCAGTGGTATTCCATTTTGACTCTTCTGCATTCCACCAGTTGAAATCAAAAAGTAATGCCCAAATTCCAGCGTGTTTTCCATTAAACTGCAAAGCAGCATCCAACAATTGTGCCTTCTGTCTTCGAGGTGACACCTCCAGCTGCGATGCCGACATTGAGCGCTTTTATCCGGAAGGTTGAGCGACACTTCACCGCTCGGTGTCCAGGGGCGAGACCATATGGCGCAAATCTTAGCTGAAATGAAATCCTTAACGCAAATACCCTGTGCAAAACTTTTGCACTGCCTGCAGAATGCTAAATAGCAGTACCATCAAGTTGCAATGAATTATTTTTAGAATTAATTAGTAAATATAAAGGTCAAATAATGAATTTATAGTAATTTTCTAAAATGTTATAATTAGAATCAGAGTTCTATCTTAAGGTTTTACAAATGTAAGCAAACTGGATGAGTTTTTAAGAGAGTGCAGGAAGACGACCTTTCAATTACCTTTCCTAATCCCCTCTTTTTATTCCTTTCTTGTAAGTATATCCACAGTGAATTGGTTCCTCCAAAAGGCACAGCGAGGGTCCTTTGCAGCGGCTATAATCCTTAGAGATCTTGCGCTGCGAGAGCATATGTGCGCTGTTCTGTTCGCGTCCACGGCCGTCTTCACAACTGCGCTCCAGCTACAGCGACCTGTAACTGATTCAATGTTACAGTCCACCCCCCTCACCCGAAAAAAGTAATCATCTGGCTCAAAGTAAATAACTCTCAGGAAATGGCACCCCCCTCTCCCTCAGTCTCCCCTCTGAGCCCTAAACTTCTTTTCAAAGTAAGAGTCTTCAGAGGAGACCTAGAAATTTATCCAGATGAGAGAAAATTATGAAAAACTTGGTCTGCGAAACCTTTTTAGACAAAAGTCTTGATAAACCTTGCAATGTGTATTTCTTTTTGTTTCTTTTACAAATAATGTATACTTTTGTCAACTTTTTCTTCCAATTTCTGACTTCATAAAACTGGCTCCTGTTATAGAAAAGAATAGAACATATTTGTTGCTTTTGCATAGCAGATTAGTTACAAAAAGCCACATTTCTCGTGTCTCCAAATTTGGGTTCTGATCTCGTCCAGAGGGCGCTCATACACCACCATAGAATGGCTTACCCCTCTCATTGATTTCATTCGATTTCTATTAAAAGAAAACGAAGCATCAGAATAGTCTTTCTTTCTTCTTGTGCTTCAAAAAATGAATAGGACCCATATTTACTGCTCAGATCCATCAGTATGGTCAATTTCTTAAACCTTATCCCTCTATACCCCGGGGGGGCTCCCTGACGGGTATCAGAGGAATAATGGGCCCCTGTGAATTACCTATCTCTTGGCACAAAATGGGAGCATCAGACCAGTGTGTGTGGACAGGGCCCCGGGGCCGATTCCGCAGTACCCCTCCTCCTCTTCTACCTCACTCCATGCAGCCGCTTGGTGCAATTACTTCCACATGTTAGGGGAAAGAACAGTGTCCTTGTTCTCCAAACAAAGGATCTCAGCTTAGGAAGACCCAGCTTCCCTCAAAGCAAGTTTAGGCTCTCGCTTTAGAGCAATTACATCCAGGTAACCTGGTTTAAAAATCTTAATAAAGCTTGTGGTTTGGTGTAAATTAACCATTAAAAGGCAAAACAATCAACACATATATACATATAAATACATATATATTTTAGCTTTTCTGCTTTGGTTTTTTTTTTTGTGTGTGTGTGTGTGTGTGTGCCTTTTTTAACCAGAAACATCACCGTGGCTCATTGAATTTATAGCTTCCTGCTCCCACGTCAAAAATCCTAATAGTGGTGTGTCCCACCTGTCATGACATTAACGGTCCAGCAGGGGGCTTTGAAGCAATTTGCAAATGCCATTCCACACTCACAAAAAAAAAAACTCTCTCTCCCTTCTCACCAGTAATAACGTTGTTAAAGTTGGATATAATATATACATATATATATTTGTGTTTTAAGACAAACTTAACAGCAACATAGATGTTATATATTCGATATGCCTTTTTATTTTATTATGAAATGCTCTAATGCCACCAAAAAATTATGATTTTGTGACCCAAAAAGAAAAAAAATTCCCCGCTTTAACAGTTGAAAACGTATTCTAATTCTTTTCATGTCCCATATTTTGTTTTGTTCATGCGTCAAGGTGGAATGTTTTAAAGTTCAAGTAAAATGATAATGGGACCTTTGGGCGGTGGGCCTCTGTGGGAGCTGTCCTTGGTTCTGAAATATGTTTTTTTTTTCCCCTACTTAACCAGTTTACTGCAAAACAAAAGTATTCTTGCCTGCTTGTCTGTTTGTCTCTCTGTCCAAGTCATACCGACAAAAAAGTGGTGCTTGATATTTTAATGCAATCATTGCTGGCATGACACGCTTGTTACTTCAGCAACAAAAATTTACCAGGTAAATATCTTACGCTCCTGTGTTTTAAGTCAGAAGGCTATTTTTATGAAATACGGTCAGACCTATCCCCATTTCCCATACTCATGATTATGACAACTTAACGACGAAGAGAAAGCATGACATTCTGAAAGTGTTTTGAACCCAGGATAGTTTCTCATATAGGAAGACTTTTAGAATATATGTTCCCAATTTGATTTCCAGCATAAACATAATATCTCTGAAAATAGTCAGTAAATCTTATTCTTTATTTTTCTTTTTTGTCATGCTGGTGTTCCAGCGCTCTCACCTAGGTTATTGAGTGGTGCATTAATTTAATCGGTCGGTTTTATTTAGTGGAGACAATGTCCTAAATAAAGCACCTTGTGGTTTTGCTACCAACATGCCTCACTGAGGTGATTGTGTTTTGTCATTTCGATTGTGAATGGGAATGTTTTTATGATTCACTTATTCAGTGAATTTGTGCAGAAAGCAGACATTGCACTGAAGAAAAGCACCCCACAGTATGATACTGCCACAACATATATATAGGCCTATATATAGATTTTTTTCCTTTGTGCTTTTTGTTTTTAGGGGCACAAAAGGTGTTAGTTTGCAACCGCATATAACATGCTGTGTGAGGATCAGGAAGCTTAATTTGATTCCACTTAAAGACATAATCAGGATCATCTTTTTTTAAACAGACTGTTACAAAAGTTGCAAACATGGATGTGCTAAACAAAGAGGGAGACCACACATCAAAATGGAACGACTGGATGAGACTTTAAACAACAGGCTGTCAATATTTATAATAAATAATATTGTAAATAAAAAATATATAGAAAAAAACAACCATATCAACCAATCAAAGCTAACCTTGCACACTAAACATTATGCTGCTGTCACTGTGTTCTTTCTTGGAGTTTGTGCAAATATGTGGACAAGTTTTTAATAATGAAAACCTTTGCTTCTCATTCTGCTTCTAAGATAGATTTATATTTTTGGACCCTGGAATAGCGCACTGACTCCCACTATTAGAAATGGACGTTACTTAGTAGTGGGAGGGACAACGCAGCCCCCCTCATTACCCTCATCCCCCCATCCAGTACTTCAACTTCTTCTAGCCTCCATCTCTCCGCATGAGACAGCAGCTGCAACCAGCTGAAAAGCGCTCTTATTAATTGTCTTTTGTCATGCGTAATTGCCCCGTTTTCTATGGCGTCCCATCTCCTCTTTAGAGATATATTGTGCTTATTTTTCGGTTTATTGGCAGGTAAAACCATCCCTTTTCTTTGATTTTGCCTCTAAAGTCTCTGTATAATCTGCCGCACATTCCGTTTTAAAGAGATTTTGTGTTTTGTAATGTTGCGCATTTTAATGCAGCGCCAACTGGAAACTAAGTTCACGGTGGCCTTAAAGTCCAGGTCACGTCCTGCGAATCTTAAAACGGGTCCATTCTATTGGTCCAACACACCTGCAAGGGAACTTTAATTCGGTTAATGGGAAGTTCAATATATATTCATTAGATGGCTTTCCCCAGATAATATACGATCAGCAGCGGGATGTGAAAGAAAACCATTTATTTGCACTCTGAAAGGGTCTGCATGGGACCAAAACTTCACCTGCTTCCCCTCTCAATTAGGAATGTATCCCAAACTCCAACAGAAACGAGTTAAATTAGGCGTCCGCTAATTTCCAGTGGCCCCTCCCACGTAATCCCCAAGTCCATTTAAGCATGCCTCCTTTTAATTCACTTTAAGTTGAAAGGTTCAAATAGTGCCTAATGAAACAGTGACTAAATCGTCCTCTGTGGCTCCAAGGAACCCTGTCGATGTCCCTCAAAGCTCTCTGAGCACGCAGCCGTCGGGGGTCCCAGGCTAAATGCGGGTCCCAAGGCAGGACAATCTAACCTGTCAAAGCCTTTGCCCACTTCTATATATCCTCGTTTTGGGGCTTCAGCCATTGGCGGCATAGTCAACCAACGTGGGACCGAAAACGCAATTAAACTCGCTTTGGAACGACTGAAATCCTTTCAGAGGCAAACATTAATGGACGATTGGCTGCTCCCCAGGGGCGTTATCGGGTACCCTTTTGTATGAAAAAAATCTAAGGAGAAATTACAACTAGGCCTTCTCCATCCATCCATTTTGAGTTTAACAGGCACGATCATTTGAATTGAATCCTGCGTGATGTTTCTGAATAAAATGAGCCTTCAGTTTAATGCAGCACCCTGATAATGGAAGCTTAATAGGAATAGCTGTTCATTATGAGCACATTTAAATGTGATGCTCTAAAAACAAGGGTAATGGTATGGAATAATACATATAATTGTTTTTAAAAAGTTATTTTTTACAGTGTTATGCTTTAACTTTAAGTCATAAATGCACACACTGTAAAAGATCATGTGGATTTGAAAAATGATTCATTAAAGTTCTTCATTTCAAGCAAAAGACAGCTTGGGGTCCCTTTAAATTTGCATGTTTGTTTGTGTCTGGTGTTAATTTCATATTAAAAGTTGTGTTCTGTTTATTACTTTACTCCATTTTATTATTCTTTTTTATTTATATTTGTAATCTATAGACAAAATCTTTTCAGAAGCGATAAAAATATATCACATATTCCTGAAAAAGCCCCACATATTCCTAAAGGTTCCTTCATCTTATGTAAACTAAAAAAAAAAAAAAAATCACATCTTCCTGAAGGATCCTTCCATTCTAGATGCGTTAATGTGTGGAGGAATTTTGGCTTTTAGGTTTTTTGCTTTTCGTTTTTTTTTATATTTTTTTTATTGTTTGTGTCCTGAAGATTTCTAGGACCCCCCTCCTGCACAGCTAAAACACTAAAACACCCATGGAAGGACACTGACTACATATGTGTATATATATTCTTCTTTTGTTACATTTATTTCTTTTATTTTAAATTTTTTTCAACAAAATATCATAGTGTATTTGTTGCCCACTCTTGAACAAATCCTTAAATTGAACAATTTAGATTTTAATTTATTTAATAAATTAATTTAAATAGCTGGAAAATAATCTTAGATTAACTTTGTAACTTCTTTTTTGATGGTGGGGGTGGGTGGATAAGGGGGCGAAATGTTTGATTTATTCACTCTTCTTCATGTGTTGTCTTTGTTTTAGTGAGCTGAAGAAGTATTGTTCCAATCAATATGTAAAGTTTAAAGATACTGTAACCTTGTGCTAACCTTCTGTCTTGCTTAAAAACGTGGAGCTTTTTAAAACCCAATACTGAACATATTGGACCTGGCCTACATATCAAACATGTTAACATTTAGTTATTTTGGGGGGGAGTTTTAACAAGACATGCTTTTAATGTATTTAGAATGTTCTGTTGTATTAAAACCATCTCTTTACTTATGTCACAGAACAATAATAAGAGTGTGCGTTTTGGCATATTTGTGATTCAGGATATTTTGTAAGGCTTAATTACTTATTAACAACTGGTCGGTTTATTCTCTATATTTGTTGGTACCTTCCTATTAAAAAGTAATTGTATGTACCAGGCTATTTAATTGGGTTATAATTTCTAAGTATTTTTAAAGATAGTTTATAATGAAAACGCTAAGAAATCATGTATGTAAATTTATGTTCTTAATGATTTACCTTACAGACAGATCCTTCCTCCCAGCTGCTCTAAGACTCTATAACCATCAGTGTTTCCAAAAACCTCATTAAGTTGTTATATTTATGCTGATTTTGCTCAGTTTCTGTCTTAGTCAGTTAAATAACTTCTGTCCTTTTTTGCACACCTCTGATGTTGCTGCTATTTTTCACATACCCATCACTGTAAAAATGTCCACAGCTGTTGATTATTTATTCTCCACATACAGAGTAGGCCGATTTATATTGAAAAAAATCACTGTACAGTACAGTGATTTTTATTTGTTTATTTTCTTAAATCACTTATTCTGTTAGTTTTACACACTTTTCTAAGGTCTGCTGTAAAAAAAAAATCCCCATTGTGGGACAATAAAGGGATTCTATTCTATTCTATTCTATTCTATTCTATTCTATTCTATTCTATTCTATTCTATTCTATTCTAATAATTATTTTGTTTCTGACCAGGTCATTGATGATAACTGAAAGGTTTTCGACTTTCCGACCAAACCAAAGCAACCCCAGGCTACCACTCCGAGGATGATCTTCCTAAAACCTATACCATATCAGTGTCATTGTCTATGAAACCACATTTTTTTGCAGATTTTGCGTGAACTATAAAAGCCATTCCAAAGCATCTCGTGCACCAAACAGCGAAGGCGTGAAATAAAAAGATCCAGGCGTGGAGCCTCAGTGTTTCAAGTCAGTACACGGACACATTCATCAACTCATACTGTTTATTACAATAAATACAGATATACACATTTTTTTTTTTCTTTTACCAAATGGCTGCAGGTCACAGGTCCACACTTCAAACCTGGCCTATTTTTAAAGGCTCTCTGATCCAATAGCTGCACCGCAGGTTCTGTGATTACTCACAACATTTATTATAGGTAATTAACAAGAGCTGAACATCTGAAGTACAAGCGGTTGTGTTAATAGTATCTCACTGAGATATGGATTATTTTAAATGTAAATACTTCATGCAGGAAAGAAGCCATATTTTTTGCATTGGCTCAGAAGTTGCATAATGCCATCAGGAGCATGCGGGGCAGAGTAAGTGCCTGTAACGGGACTCATGGAGAGTTAAGTTTTTTTTTTTTCATTTTTTATATTGGTGAAACTTCTTTCTCCTCTGATGCGGAGACTGGAGATAAAGATTCTTCATCCTCCGACCTGGAATAGTTCGTGTGAGTGCTGGCGCACTTACAGCCGCCGTGCGCGCTCCTTTGCGTGGCTTTACCTTCTTTCTTGTGCTTTACTCTGCGGTTCTGAAACCAGATTTTCACCTGCTTCTCAGACAGGTTCAGATACGTGGCGATCTCAATCCGTCTAAGCCTTGACAGGTACATGTTTGTAGAAAACTCCCTTTCCAGCTCCAGGAGTTGCGTGCTTGTGAAAGCCGTGCGCATCCTTTTGCCGTTCTGTAGGTGGGTGTTTTCGGTGGAGCCTCCTGTAATATAAAAAAGAAAGTTTTTAGCAGGAAGTTCAACTTGTCATTTCTGTGAGGACGGACACTAATGCGCGTCAATCCCCCTGCGTAAAGGCGTATCATACATTAATCTAACGTATGCTGGACCATAAAGCAAACAAGTGCTTACCGATGGAAAGGCAGTGGTATCTCCTGGGATCTGTGACGCCAAAGGTGGGCGTGCAGACAGGTGTGTGTCCAGAATGCGCCAGCGCAGAAGGCTGCTGCTGCGATAGCCTTTGACAGTACGGTGTCTCCATACCTGGAAACTGACTCTTCAGTATAGGAATACCGCCGCGAGAAGACTGGATGTGAGATGTGACACACAGCGGGCAAACGCAGAAAGTCCCGTTCTTCCTGGAGGGGCACATCGGAGTGGTGACCGTCATTACGCTTGGAGAGTGCACGCTGATGGGAAGCAGGAAGTCCTGGGTCTGATGCTCGGTCGCTCCGGTTCGCACCGTATCCTTGATAATCAAAGAATCAACGTAGAAAGACCTCGACATGTCTGTACATCTGAGATGAGATCGCCCAGTGCGCAGGATGAAGACTGTTTCTCATGTGAAGCCCTCGGGATCTCTAAAGGTGCTTATGTTTGATGGTTCAACAAAAGGGACCCCGAAGAGGGGTTGGCGCTGCATCGTCACCCACGTGCGCACCCAACTCCAAGGGTTTGTGCTGTCAATGACCCAAACCACGTGATGTTGATCTACTTCTCCCATCATAACTCCCAGTTTGAGGATCATTCTTTTAATCAACCTTTTAAGCACGTTTGTCTAAAATATAAAAGCTTATAAGACTTTAAAGTTACACTTTCTAGCAAAGGTTGCAACACTTTTTCATCTATCTATCTATCTATCTATCTATCTATCTATCTATCTATCTATCTATCTATCTATCTATCTATCT